AGAGAATGTTTCCATACGAAATTTTTATTGTCCTAAGATCATTTTTATTATCCCATTACTTCAATCCTCTCCAAGGATTACTCTACATAATAAATTTCAACTTTTCAAGATCTCCTGGGGGACTTTGGCTCCATCTTTTGGCTTAGTCTACAACATGCTCCGTATCTCCCACGGTAAAAAAGGTATGCTTTAGATTTCTTACTGTCTTAATCCACTCTTATGTCATGTGGTTTTTCACTCATTGATGCTCTTAAAAAACAAAGGAGGGATTATGTCAAATTCACTTAGTCTTAATTCTCTCTAATCATTTGGTAGGTGAATGTCCTGACGGTTACCAGTAACGTCCTATCACCTGAAGTGCACACCTGTAGTTTGCATCATGCAAAGGCTACTCCCTTTTCTCCTGGTGTCATTGCCTTGAGTTCCTTTGGGACACCTTTCCCTCTACTCATATTATGTGCTTTAGTTGAGCTGATCTTATCCGTAGCATCAAGGGTAGGCATGTAACCTAAACATAAGCAACTCAACGCAAGCCATGATCGTTGGGCGTCCTTATTAGAGTCAATCTGAACTAATACTGGAAGTGAGGTTTGAGGTAAAATTAAAGAGAAAGCTCTTTCTCTTTTTATGGACTTGGACTTGAATAGATGTAGGCTGGAACTGCTATTGCCATCTTGTTACAATGAGGGGAAAATCTTTCAGAAACTAGAGCCAAAACAGGAAGCAAACCCAAAAGATGAAAAAAGAGAAACTATGATTTCATTGATTGAGTTCCTAAATCCAACCAAATCCAATAACAGGAATACTTTTGAACTTTATAGCTGTGTGAGTTCAACCAGTTATGGTTTTATGGTTGTTGTCATTTACAAGAAAAAAGGCAGTAATTTATGCACCATCAAAAAAATCAGTGGCTAGTATTTGCCAAAGCTAATCACCCCCTTTTTAAAATATGCACCATTTCTCTGTCCTTATCCATTTTTTTCTCATCTTTCTTTTATGCCCTCTAATTTGTCTTTATATATTGCTACAATTGTAGAATTTCAGAGTTAGAATGAATAAGGGATAACAAAGCCAATATGTATTGAGATCCTTGGAAAAGGCACAGTTTATATGGATAAATATCTGTTAAAGTATAGATACATTTAAAAAATTATGTTTGGGATACTACACTATTGATTGACTATATGCTATAAAAGAGATGTTATATGAAGAGAAAATAGGTGTAAATTTGGACTGCATGCTATCATTTCCATCCTGAATGTAAAGAGCTGAATATTAATGAGGCACAGAATGGGAAGTTTTCACAGGGATAATGTCTCTGATTGCAGTTTGAAAAAAAATGGGAGAACTATGTTATTGCATTTTGATACTAGCACTTTCTGGAAAGCAATTAAATTGGTTTGCCACCTCAGTTTTTAGAAAGTAAAAGGTTAGAAAATACAATAAAACTGAACATTTCAGTTCCAAAAAGAACTGAAAGTCATTGGGCTGTGAGATATTTCAAATCATATCCAAAAGCAGGATTTATGGCCCTATGAGTTATGGAAAAGGAAATTGAATTGTATGTTTTATTTTTAAAATACAACCACTAAAAAGGTGTTTCCATGGTAACAAGGTCAGTACCAGTAGCCATTGTAGACCTTCCTTCTTTCTGATAGTGGATTTAAAGATCTTTTTCAAATACCACTTTAAAAGCCGTATGAAAAAGTACAGCTTTTCTGATCATTCATCTGAACGAAAAAATGAGTATTGAATTTCTCATGTTTTATGGATGATAAGCATTCGTGGTTGTCATATTTTCAGAAAGAAGTCTGCCTAACTAGCTACTATGCCAACTCCTGAACATGGGATTTGATTAGCCTGATTGTAGATCTGGACAAACAGAAGTTGTTTGCAATAGTATTCAAACAGAAATAAAAGGCAGCACAGTATTAAAAAAACACAGTTCTTTAACATCTAAATATTGAAAGAGCTAAGTAAATAATCCTTGTTATTAAAAAAACATTCAGACTCAGATAAAATTTGATACCAGCACTAGAGGAAGGTCAAAAAGATACAGGCCACATTCTGTTTACAACAGAAATAAACAGCTCTTTGGCCATAAAAATCAGTTCATTTAGCACCACCAGGAAGTGGTCTCTCCTTCCCCTTTCCTTTGTATCAAGATGCACTACCTATATGACAGTCATTTGTAGCATCTTATCTTCCCCACTGAACTGAGAGCCCCTCAGAGTAGAGGTTATTTTTTTCTCTGTATTCACAGAAGTGTCTCAAATACATTTTGCATACAGAAGATACTGAAAAAAAAAAGTGAAGACTGAATCATGAAAAATAATGATATAAGGATAACTAAGATAACACAAAATCTTCAGTCTATTTTTAGAAATGTGTCAGTTAAAATGTGCACTAATGACTTTAATCTTCAATCCAAGAGTAGATTTAGACCCTTGTTCACAGACTCACAAATGTTAAATAATAAATCCAAACACCTGGCTCCTAGACCAATTCCTTCAGAATCGCTGCAGGTAGGTCCCTGGCATCAATGTTTTTAAAACCTCGTCAGGTAATTCTAATGTGAAGCCAGAGATGACAATCATTGCATTAAACTGTTCTGCTGGGGCTCAATTAATGACTTATTTATTTACCTCCAACTTTCAGCTACTTGCTTTTTTTCCCCTCAATATTGTCTCATAATACCCTATTAACCAAATCTATAACACTTTTTATTATAACTTAATGATTTATTCTCCAGAATCACTTTTCCTGAGAAAAGCTTCAATTAAAATAGTTGTCTTATACAATTAAAAATTTTAACCAAAAATTATTTATTGTATTCTATTCAATATACTTTTAGCCTTTTGTTGCTATGAATTGAAAACCAGAGCTGAATACAGCACCAATACAACAGGTGCTCAATAAATGTCAGTAGAATTTAATATATGTGTTTGTGCTTCTATGCTTATCTTTCCCAGGCCTGCAAGGCCTTTTTACACCCTTAACTCTCTGGAAAAATTCAGATCCATCTTTCCAAACACCCATATCATATTTCTCTTCCTCTAGGAAGCTCTCCTTAATTCAGACTATTAAGGATTCTCTTCTTTGGTGCTGCCACGGCCCCTCACTTATGCTTCTATTTTGTACTTCTAATACTGTACTGTCATTTCTTTTTCTTTTCTGTTCTAAAAATAAATCCACTCTCCATTCTTGGTTGTGAACAACTTGCAGTAAGTGCTGGCTTATGCCTCTCTGCTCTTTTTCTTTCAGGGCACAGCACAATGGTTAGAAACAATAGGCATTCAGTAAGTGTTTACTAAATGAAAGAATAAATGGCCATGTTGAAGTGAACTAGGTACATTTCAAAAATACTATCACTATGGACTGAACTGTCCCCCCCTAAATTCATATGTTGAAGCCCTAATCCCCCAATGTGATGGTATCTGGAGATGCGACTTTGAGAAATAATTAGGTTTAGATGAGGTCATAAGAGTGGGACTCTCTTGATGGGATTAGTGCCTTTATAAGAAGATACCAGAGAGCTTGCTGTCTCTCTCACTCTCTGCAATGTGAAGACATAGCAGGACATTAGCCCTCTGCAAGTCAGGAAAAATCCCTCACCAGAATGTGACCATGCTGGCAGCCTCCAGAACTATGAGAAAATAAAATCTGTTGTTTAAGTCACCCAGTCTACAGTATTTTGTTCCAGCAGGCCAAGCTGACTAGTTCAACTGTGAACTAGGATTACATTATTCAAAGAGAATATTAATATAAACATGATAGATATTTATACTTTTCCCTTTTATCAAAATTCTTAAAAAACAAGTGTTTTTCAAAGAAAAAACTATATGAAATGCAATTAGTCTAGATACTTTATATTTCCTTTCAAATAAATCTAAGGCATACTTTTTGGTATTTTCCTGCTAAATTAAGAAGCCAGATATAAACATATATAGCAGAAAATGAAATGATTTTGTAGAACAACAATTAAGCAACAGGGAAAAATAAGTTACCTTAGGGACGTCATTATCAATGTTAGCTATTCACCAGGTTTCTTTCTTTCTTCATGGATAACATTAATTGAAGACCCAGCATGTTCCTTGTACTGTATTATGTTATAAATTAATTTTATTTGTGTTATTTAGGATAAAGAAAATATTATTTAAGGTCTCAAGGAAACTCCATAACGTATTATTTATTTCAACAAATACTTATTGTGCATTGTGGGAATTCAATTTTGTGTTTAAAGCCAATTAAGGTAGTTTCATTCCAGCATTCTCTTGGGAATGTGGATATAAACAACCCAGGCCTTATCTGATGAATCTGTTCTATAGTCAAAGCATAAAAACTGTGTAGTTTAGATCAGCAGTGCCCCCACTTTGAATTTCATGGATAAGCAACATTTACAAAATTTGGGGAGCCAATACCAAGTTAGCAGCATTTTATTTGGCTGAATAATAACATAAAAAACAAATAAATACCACTATCAACTATTACCAGCAGTTCACAAATGACAAAGTATTTTAACACAAAATGAAGAATATAATCTTAGCAGAGAATCAAGGGTTTTCAAGTGATTGCATTTCTTTTAATGGAGAAAAACCTGCACTATATTCTTTATTCTTTTCATTTCAGCCTAGACTGGTGAAAACTTTGCTAAGAACAAACCCATCTCTGGGATAGATACAGAAATTTCTGCCATCTACCACTTCTCCTTCTGCTGTCTATCACTGCTCTACTTTGTTCCTGTTTTTCACTATTCAAAATCCCTTCCTTATTTTAATTCTTCCAGCAGGCCATTGAAATAATAAAGTTTAATCCCATCAGCCATGCAGGGTCCAGGGGAAAAATACAGATCTACTTAAACTTAATCACTTCTCATTTTGTCCAATATTAAAGATAAATTATGCTTCTGGTACCATCATTACTTTATATTTCTGTATTTATAATGTGTTATATAAACATCTAAATGATGAGTATAAATCAAATGAAGCAACAAAACTTACATGTGTGGACTCAGTGAAACTACCCTTGCCATTACAATTCCAAGAATCAGAGTTGTTAAAACTGTGGAAACAAGAGAGATCTGCAAAAGAAAATGTAAAGATGTATTGTAAGTAGAATAGACATTATTTTATTGAACAGGTGATTTGTTTTTTACTTGAGTAAACTTATGTGCAGTTTTAAAAATAAAATTCTTTAGTTGTTTATTGCTATAGATTAGTGTTGATAATCTCAGGCATGTAACTTTTTTGTTTTTAAATTGAAGTATAGTTGATTTATAGTGTTTCAGGTGTACAGCAAAGTGACTCAGTTTTATATATATAAAAATATATATATATACATACACATACACGTATGTATATATATGTATATACGTATATACAAATTCTTTTTCAGATTCTTTTCCATTATAGGTTATTATAAGAAATTACAAGAACATAGTTCCCTGTGCTATACTGTAGGACCCTGCTGTTTATCTATTTTATATACAGTAGTGTGTATCTGTTAATCCTAAACTCTTAATTTATCCCTCCCTGATCTTTCCCCTTTAGTAACCATAAATTTGTTTTCCATGCCTTGGAGTCTCTTTATTTTGTAAATAAGTTTATTTGTATCATTTTTTTTCAGATTTCACATATAAGTGATATCATATGATACTTGACTTTCAGGCATGTAAATTTTTGTCAGAATCATAGTCTTAGTTTTTTTCCCCCATAATAGAACAAGTATCAAATACAACTATTTCATAAAGTGAAATTATGCTTTCTTTTTCCTTCAGATTCTGTTTCAGTGTTAACTTGTGCTTTTTTTCTAATTGCTTCTTTAGCTTCTGTCTGTATCTTACCCTGCTCCTTCCAACACATCGCCCCACACCCACCCACTCACACATACTTTTGGGGTGCCCTGCTTTTTTCTTTATGCTTTCTACCTCTAGTAGTCTATTTTTCCTATGTGGGTTTGCCCTTTGGTCTTTGTTTCTAAAGTCTTTGCTTCTTCCTCTCTCTTCTGTCACTATTTCAACTGGTTAAAATATAAACTGGTCTGTGTGTATGTGTTCTGTGCACTCATTACATTAGACCTGCATTGCTACTCAATTTTTTAATGGATAAGCATATTTTAGACTTTTTTGTCTGATAAGAAAAATATAATGTACAAAATTGCTTTTATTCATTTGACAGTCATTAATTTTGTTCCCTAGGATGTTAGTTTTTAACTAGGAAGAAGGTTCTATTATGAGTCCTCTAATCCACTGAGATATTAGGAAAGAATCCCAAAGTCATACTGCTAGGAAGTGGCTCGGGGAGCCCAATGTGCAGCCTGACTCTGGATCAGGGCTCCTAACCCCTCTGCTTCACTCATTGGGAGATTTATTTAGATACTTCAATATGACATTTTAAAGGGACATTTAGGGATAAAATGTTCAGTTATTAACAATATGATAGATTATTAGCTTTCTTTTCATAGATTCTTGCCTTCTGCTCTCAGAAGAAAGCATTTATGTCTACGTTAACCATGTGAAATGGAAAATAGTTCAGACATTTCAGATAATTCACCAAAAAAAATGCCTCTTAATACACTCTGGTTTATTTCTGTATGCCTGTTAGGGAAGGAAGGCAGAGTGGTCAGAAAACTTTGGAAGACCATCTCCACATTCAGCTCTACCTGAGGGACTTCACAACTGTGGATACACATGAAATATCACAGTGAAAAGTAAAATTAATCAACTGTTGAATTTTTCAAAATAGGATATAAAAAAATACATGAAAACTCTTTAAATTTTGTTTCACTAGAATACTTGGCATACTGTAGATGCAACACCAATAATATTTTGAGTAAATACAAACATTCCATGAGAGTAAGAAAATAAAATACAGTCAGATAAATGCTAATGCATGAAGATAAGCATTTGTGGTAAGCTGAATATTTATTTGGGTGGTTTCATTAGAAATAAATCATCATTTCTCTTTAGCAAATAAGAATCATAAGTATTGGCCAGACTCCTAACAATTAATTAATCAACATATTGACATTTAAATTCACAGGATAAAAAACGGGCATAATAGACACTGTAATTTACAAAAAAATTTTAAGCCAATGAAGTGATTAATTCTTGCTTCTTAAAGTTAATTTAATTTTAAATTGCTTACTATCTATAAAAATGATAGAACTTTTTTTTAGTAAATTAGACTTGGTTTAAGTAGAGTTCTTTATATCTTCTAAATTTAGTGTGCTGTCTAACATCAGAGAACCTACCTTAAAAAGGAAAAGAAAGGACATATTTATTTCATATTCATCAATTACTTAACCATCAGTTTCCTAAAATAAAATATCAAACATAGCTCACTCTAATATAATTATAAACTAAATGAAACTAAAGATGAATACTGTAATTAAGAACTTGGCCATATAGACAGCAGTTTGACAGAATTAACACAGGTAACAAAGTACATTTCTGTGCCTATTTAAAATGTAAAAATTACCTTTCCAAGCTTTGCTATATCTCGATACAAGGACAAAGGCAGAGTAAAGGCAATGGTGGAAAGCACAATAATGAAATGGCGACCAATAAGCAAGTTTTCAGGATCAACTAAAAACACAATAAATATTATGAAGTGTTAATAGATACGAGTAACACACCAGTGACACAAGAAAACAGTCAAATATTTAATTATAAAAATGACTTAAATAATACAAAATGCTACGTAAGTGACAATTTTGGGTAAATAAATTCCATAAAACTGTCTAAAAATAGAAATAATTCACAAAAATGTAAATACAAAATAACTTAAGGATGAACCTACAGTTCAAATAATGTTATCATATTTTGCATTCAAATTATTTAATAGCCTCCCAGTCAGTTTTCCTGCTTTTATCTTCCTTTGTCCCCTTAGAGTATATTTTTAACCTAGAAATTACAGAGATCCTTTCCAAAGGCTAAAACCATTATGTCACTCCTTGTCTCAAACCCTCTAACGGCAAAGCCCTTCAGTCAGAAAGTAAGCTACATGAGGACAGGATATATTCTGAGGCTTTTTTTTGTTTTTAACTTCTGTGTCCCAGAAAGATTTGAAGAGTAAAATTTTAAATTTCACAAATCAAGGTTTAGACAAAAATATTCACTATATTTGTGAAAGAAGTGAAGGAAAGTAGACAGAGCAACTTTTTGGATAGGGAAAATGTCATAGGAAAGCTGCTGAAACCTGACGTACATTGCAGACTCCTGGCTTTAATAACAAGGAAATTATAATAGAGTGTGAGTGTGAGAGTGTGTGTGTGTGTGTGATCAAATATAAACAAAAGTAAACACAAAATAAAACATATTTACAAGAATTAATGTATTTTTAAAGCTGGCTAGTCACAGCTTTAAATGAAGCTAACCAATGAAGACACCATTGTTTAATTTTTTAGCTCATATTAAATTCCTTCAGAGTTCATGTCATTTATTTTTGAAACGTTCTCAGTGGTACCAAGTCTGTGTACATTAGTTTCTGCAGACTCTGAAGTCTATAGAAGCCAAGTCTGTCAAATAAGTGAGTGTGGTAAAAAACAAAAACAAAAACAAAAGAGCTATTACTCTGAGAAGTGAGACTGATTTTCTTAAATGGTCAATACACTAACGTACAAGGAAGTTCCAAGATGGGAACTTCAATGTGGCATAAATTTCACACACACACGCACGTGTACACACACAGACACTCAGACACACAGACACACACACACACACACGTATATACCAGAATGGAAATAATTTACCATGGGTATTCATTCAATTCAGCCATAACTAAACAATCATCTTAACATTGTGAATCAAAACAATAAAACAGGAAGTTCAAGTTCCAAAAACCTTGAACTCAATTATTTACATAGTTCTCAGTGAACATAATTTGAATTAAATTATTTGTGTATCTGGTCTTTGTATCCCTTCAAGCCATTTGCTCTACAAATATGTTTGGTAGAAAATATATTTCCTTCTACTGGGAAAATTCACAGCCCTAGAGCATGCAGGAACCCAGTAACTGAGGGTCTCCATCAGCATAAAGGACTTTTTTCCCTAACGATCCAATGCTGAGATCTATTACCTACATGTGTCTTTTAACAGAAATGTGCCTGAACAAGGATTTTAAATGTTTAAACAATAGTAAAGAAAATTGAACATTGAAATTTTTTTAACATTTTTTACTGATTTATAATCATTTTACAATGTTGTGGAACATTGAAATTTTTGAAAAATTTCAAAATCATCTACACACACTACTTCTAATAATTATTTCTCATTACTTTACCTTGTATAAAGAACCAAGGCTTTGGTTAACTGAGAAAAGTAAAAGCAACTGTCCACTTGCCAGTCTAAGACATTGGTGATATATTTCAGGGGAAAAATATGACTTTGCTACGGATTTTCCTTACTTCTAAAAATAATTTGGCTTTACAAGACATACAAACAAACCACACATGATAAACTATCCCATTTAACAACTATGAGAAAACTGTGATAAGAATCAAGTGTGCTCTTTGTTATGTGACTTATTTTTTTAAAAGTCATTTTTGATGATTATAAAATTAACAACCAGGAAGGGGGTTTCAAAGGAAACTTCAGACTTCTCTATGATGTTTTATTTTTATGAAGAGTATGTATTCATATATTATTTGTGAAATTAAAAATCAGTAAGTGATCAAAATGTTTCAGAGAAAATTAAATTAATTGTGGTCTATCTCACTTGTACAGCAGATACTACATAGAATACTGAACTACTGTTAAAGTAAATAGGACAGATCTCTATATTTTGATATGAGAATGTGAAGAGGCATGTTATAACACAAGACATACAGTGTTATTTATAAGAATGTCTGAAGTTTCATGCATCCTTAAAACTCTGAAGCATACATTAAAAAGGAAGAAAAAAGGAAAGAAGGAATGAACTCTTAGAAGGATTGTCCTTCCTTGGTTGTCTCAAAAAAAGGAGATTATGAGTATGTCCTATCTTCTCTATTTTGCTTAGCTGTGTTTTCTAATATTGTCCTCACACATATGTATTACTTCTCAAATAAGAAAATAAGGTGATAAAAAGCTTTTTTCTAAATCATAATGCTCTTTTGAAAAACTGAAAAATAACAAAGAAAATAAAAATCCCATGTGTCCCACAATTAAAAGATAACCACAGTTTATATGTGAATATATTTTTCTTATTTTGTCCTTATTTATGGAAATAGATATTTTACATAATTGACATTATTTTGTATATAAGGTATACATTCTTCTCATTTTCTTTTGCATTCTATCTGCTCACATGATCTCAGTTTATGAAAACATGATTTGGAGGTTGGGGGCTAGGACAGCAACTACAGACGACAGGTAACGATGCTGGGTAAGCCTTCCCTATGCAAGGCCTTGTTTGTGCTGTCTCTCCTGTTTCACACATTGATTCTATGAAGCAGGTGATACTCTAATTCATAACTTAGTGATGAGGGGCTAGAACTCAGAGAGGGCATTAGCCTTCTCAAGGTCACACAGCTAGCAAGTAATAGGTCTGTGATTTGATGCTCAAATGTCCCTGGTTTTAGTTTCCACTAAACTCTGTGAGAGGAGTAAGTTTTAGGTTTGTTTTACTCTGTTTGGATGTCTCTAGAATGACTGATTCATGCACTAAGAGGAAAGGTGTTTTTGCATCGGTTTCAACGATAAAACAACTATAGAGTTAAGTCACTACGAAATGGGGATTATGTGGCTTGGATGAGGAACTCTTCAAAGAAAAAGACTCATGATCTCTGAATTATTCCAATAGCCCATGATATGGTGAAAGGGCCAACAGGGAGTGGGGTAGTGGCATGCTGAAAAGTTCTGCTTGAAATGTTCGTGGCAGCTTTTTCTTTGTTTTTAATAGAAGTATAGTCGACTTACAGTGTTGTGTTAATTTCTGGTGTACAGCATAGTGATTCAGTTGCACATACCTATCTTCCTTTTCATAGTCTCTTTCATTATAGGCTATTACAAGGTATTGAATATAGTTTCTTCCCTGCATAGTAGCTTTTTCATAATTACATGAACCTGGAAACAATCTCAGTGTCCCTCAACTGGATGACAGGTAAACTGTATTCATCCACGTAGTGGAATATTCCTCAGCAATGAAAGATAAAAGAGCAAACTACTGATACACCCCAAAACACGGATGTATCTCAAATGGACTATACTAAGTGAGTGAAGTCAAGCTGCAAAGGCTACCTACTATATGATGCCATTTATTAGGCATTCAGGGAAAAGCCAAAGTAGGAAGAAAAATCAGATCACTGACTTCCAGGGACTGGAGATATGGGTAACTTTGATTATGAAGGGGAACAGGGAAATTTGGGGGGCGGGATAATGGAATTGGACTGTATTTTGATTGTGGCCATGGTTGTATGACTGTATGCATTTGTCAAAACTCACAGCACTACACATTAAAAAGGGCTAATTTTACAATATTAAATATCTTAATACAAATCGTGGGGACAAAGGTCAGTTTGCTTATTTAAGAAATGGTGTAGCACAAATAGTACCTATGTAGCATAAAATATTAAAAAAATAAAGTATTCAAAGTATATAAATAATAATTTATTAAACAGTTAAATAAGAACAAAACTATATCTAAAAGGAGATTAATACTTAAGTATCAGACTGGATCATAGATGTTACTAGATATTTGAAGTCACTCAATTGCAACATTTGCAAATATTTTACTTTAAAATTATTATGAAAAAATTTATTATGGACCACATTAACTGTGAATAACTATATAAAATAAACTCATTGACTTACCTCCAGGGATTCTCTGGAAAACTTTGCTCAAAGTATCTCCAGTTATTATGTTGTAACTTATCATAGCTAAAAACATAATTAAAATAATACAGTCACCAACAAGCCATCACATATTTCATCTTGAATATTTTGAAAATAATCTGTTATCACTTCCCAAATGTCGGCATAATCTTACTTTCAAGTATATATTATAATAACAATTATGTACAACTTTAAAAATAACTAGACAACAGATTTATGGGATAATATCAATTTGTATTACAAAAAGATTTTCATTTTACAAATCGATTCTTTCAGAATCAATCTTTAAATAATAGTGAGTTTTGGTAGTCATTTAAAATGGAATTCGTTTTGTTATGAAATCTCAGTTTCTAAACACGGTTTTAGGAACACATGTATTGCTCAAAGTGAGGAACAACAATAGAAAATTGTGAAGGCTCCAAAATATCCCCTCAGTTAATAAAGTAAGATTTGGGGAAGATATATCCTTAGCCTTCTGTGTAGACAGAAGGAACCAGTGGTTTGAACAATAGCTTCTGCGTTACTAATTTTAAAATGAAGTCAATTTGGCCATTGGTGAATGTTAACATTTTACTTATTTAAGAAGTGCTAGGTGCAAACTTTAAATAGCATGTTGACCTTGTACATCATGTCCACAGATCCTTAGGTTTTCGAAAAATATTTCAGCCCCAGAAGAAATCTATTATTTCTTTCATTCAGTGTAATACCAGCTCATTCTATTTTTCACCAAACTAGGGAATTATAACCATTAACTGAATGAAAATCACCCTCATTTTATTTCAATGAAATATGTAGAAAACCAACGAAAAGAACCAGAAAACAAGGGGAAAATGGCTAAAGATAAACACTTCACGTGGAAAATATTTCAACCGCTAGTATTCTTTAATGACTATTTAATGACTATTAAAACTATTCTATTCAGAAATGGCTGTGTGTTTATGCAAATAATTACAATATTCATTTTTGCATTCATCTTACCTATGAAAGGATACAAAAATTGTAGAACTGAGAGTAGGAGATATCCTGGAAAGCCAAAAGTTTTATTGACCAAAGACTGGTAAGTGTCTGTTCCAGAGAGGGCCCCTCCTTTTATCAATAAAACAAGGGAAAAGTCTGTGGCAAAAATAACCATTAAACAAATGTCAGATTATATTTAATATAAAGGTTTTCTTTTTATGTTTTGACTTAAAGAAAAAGAGAAACTTTTAAGAAGAATTTAATGCTACAGTAATTTAGCATGGCAAGGCTTACTTTCTTTTCATAAAACATTATGTTTCATGAAACTGTACTGTTTCGTTATATGTTTTTCAATTGAGATGCAAAGATACGTAACATATCCATGCAATGAACTGGACAGAAGAGGGTATGAAGACCAGAGTTAAAGCTTTGGTTTCCCATTTTACTTTCCTAACCTAACCAGTGCAACAACTATTAACAAGACGTGGCTCAACTGTCCAAGCAATAGAAAATAGTTATTAATCCAATATTTCACAGGCATTCAACGCTTAAAGACTGAAAATAAAAAATGCTGTAAGCATTCAGAAAAAAAAAAGATTTAGAAGAATCAAGTCGTGTGTTTATAACAAAGTACTACTAGTAACTTTATTTTATAGTTATTATGGTTAAGAGAGCACTCTAAGAATTGTTTTTTAATTTACATTTAGATGTTTAAGTTCCAGTTTTGGAGTTTAAGCTGAAGATACAAATACACAGAAATTACATAATTAAAAGTTTATCTCTCTCTCTTTTTTCATTTAACTTGGTGTTTTTTGAACACCAACTGCTGTATTGGGTACACAGTTACTGCTTTTTCTTTTTTCTCACTCACACTTCCAAAATTCACAGCTGAATTTTTGATCCTTTAAGTTATTTGGAAATGTATTTGAAGACAAAGAAGAAAAGACAAATTATGAGTCCCCCCTGCTTCACTGAAACTTCTTTCACCAAGTTCATCCATGAGCTCCAAGTTGATAAATCCAACTGATACCTCCTAAATCTCAATCATATTTGCATTCAGGAGCATTTTTCCTCTTTATCATTCCCCTCTTTTTCAACCATCCTCCCTTGGCCTTTGTGACATCACTTCCTCTTGGATTTCCTCCTACATTTTGGGCCAATTATACTCAGTTTTTCTCCAGTTTCTTTAACTCTCTTCAAACCCTGTATTCTTGGGCTTTTTCCTCATTTTTCAAGATATCCTACTGTCATCTTAGTCATGCCTGTGGTTTCAATTTTCATACAGATGTTAGTAACCCTCAAATTTGTATCTTCAGCCCAGATTCCTCCAAAACCCCAGATTTCTACATCTAGCTGTCTAATAAATATTTTACCTTGGAGATCTCATAGGCATCTTGATTTTAAATGTCCAACTTCTAATTTATATATTTGTTCGGGAACCTGCTTCTGTATCCACATTTCTCCAAACTGTGAATAATATCAACAGAAACCTGAGAATCGCCCTAGAGTTCTCATTATCCATCACCTTCGATATTCCTTTAGTCACCAAATTCATTAACTACTGCATCATAAATTATTCAACTCTGTCTCCTATTTCCAGTCTCTAACCTGCTTAATCTTAGGGTTTAGGCCTTTATCACTTCTCACCTGGATTACTGCAAAAACTCCTAATAGTTCTCTCCACCAATCTGGCCCCCGATCAAGACACTTGTGGCATCTCCTCCCTACTAAGAGTTTCTTGACATTCTCCCTCTATCAGATGAATCTGACCACAGCACTAATCTCACCATGCCTTCTGCTTAAAATCCTCCTGGGGAATCCTCTGATGCCTCTGGATAAAAATCAACTCCTTTTCATATTTTTTTCCAGAAAAAAATCATTTATTTGCTGTGGGATCTTGGGTGAAGGACTTGACTTTCCTGAATCTCACATGCAAAGTAAGGCAATAGCCCAGCCTTGAAGAGTCTGTGTGCAGGATGATGTTTAAATGCCCACCACTATGCCTGGCATGCTCTAGAGGCTAAAGGAATGAGAACTTGTGCTATTCTTGGTTATTATCTATAGGCTGCAAATGGTGGTGGAAAAAGCCTCGTATTTGAAGTCCGATGGTAATGGTAAAGCACTAGCAAATACTTCACAACAGTTTATGTGCGTCAGGCCTTCTCCTAAATGCTTTATGTATATTAACTTGTTTAATCTTCACAACAACCCTAGGTAGGTGTCATTATGATGTCCCATTTAGGAAGAGTCCTGGCAGTCTAGCCCCGGAATCCATGCACTTAACCAAAACCTCAACTCTGCTGCCAGTAACTGCAGACTCTGGGCAAATCATTTTAACTTATTAAAGTCTCAATTTCCTCCTCCATAAAAATTAGAACATGAATACCTACTTCATGGAGTCAGGAGATAAAGTATAGTGGCTGCATTATGCTCAGCATTGAGCTAGTCCTCAGGAAATGGTAATGATTATCATTACATGGGAATCTTCATAAATGCCTCTGCAAACCTAACTTCGTCTCTTTCCACTTACGAACATCAACCCTACACTTTGGCCAGACTGAATCACTTATACAGTTCTCCTCTGCATTTCCACATTTCCATCTGCTTAGAGTACCCTTTCATCTTCTTTGCTCACTCACATTTTTCCATTAACAGTCAGCGAAGGTGTCTCTTTCTCCTCCAAACATGCCTGCACCCTTAAAGCTGGGTTAAATGCCAGTATCCCTATTGTGCACATATTTGTATTATGGTATTTTTCATGAAATATTATAATTATGTGGGGTTTTTTTCCTGCCTAACATACTACAGTGTGAGCTTCATGTAGGCAGGAATAATGGTCTTCATTGCTATAATGGCAGCAGTGTCAGTGAATATTTGTTGAATGAATCTATGATCAGTATAGCAAGATGGCTAGACGTCTACATATCTGATTCAGATTTAACATGATAAATGACCTAATACATATATTTTAAAATATTCTGCAAGCACAAATGGCATAGTAATTAATTCTATGTTCTTTGTTCAAAACTAAGAAAAGCTACACAGAAGAGTTGAGGAGTGCTTTGAAATACTTCAAACAGGTTTTCACCAGGTAGTGAAATAAAAAAAATGTCAAACAGGGGGACTGTCCGTGGAACGTCAGTGTGAAGGCATATTCTACATGTGGGGAATGGAATAGTCCAGAATGGCTAAAGCATAAATCCCACACATCGCAGTGTTGGTGACAGGGTGAAAGAAGTCAAATTAGTGGGGAGATGAGACAAAAAATGTAGACAGTGGCTGAAACATGCGAGAATTTAAATGCAATATATTTTTTTCTGTTGTCATTATAGGGTGTTGACATGTCTTGAGTGGGGGCGTAACAGAGACCATGCTGAAGTTTTACAAAGATAACTCCTGCAACAATATGGAGGACAGATCAGGAAGTAGACAGATGCTAAAGGCAGGAAAACTCAACAGCAACTTACTGGCCGAGGAAGAGAATCAATGAGGACTTGAGTAACAGGAGGTAACCAGTTTCATAGATATTGTAAAGTTTTGGTGAAGAACTGTATGCTTGGGATGAGAATGCTTAACTTTATAAAAGTTCAAAATGTATTGCTTAAAGTTAACAACTTGCTAAGAATTTAGTTAATAATAAATGTTTTCATCTACTTGTTAAATATGAGCTATAAATAAATTTCTTTAAAAAGTTTTAAGAATCTCAAACATCAATCCCTGTAACATTTTGATCTCACTTTAAATATATTTTATGCAAATCTTAGATAATCTGTGAATGAATCTGTGTTATTTAAGAGGGAAATTTTCTTTTCCATCATTATGTATGCTTGGACAATAAAAATTATTTTACTCTTATCAACAAATATGAGAATCTTAAAGCAAATTAAAATAAAACTATTTGGTGTAAATATTTACAATTCTTCCTCGTTCCCCAACATTTCACAAACATGAAAACAGAACTTAGAAACACTACTTGTTGAACTGGACATACCTCATTTAAAAAGCCAAAGACTTTAAAAAGACAAAAGAATAATTGTAGAAACAAACCACTGTATAATTATAGCGTCAATTTAAAGAACAATTCAATATTATACCCCAATTTGTAGATTTTGCTCTTAAAAGCCTAATTTCGAAATAAAATGAAAAGAAAAAAAGAAAAAAAATGAATCACAGTCTACAATTTTTTTTTTGCATCTGTGTGGTCATCCTTTATTCATCAAAATCATTTAAGGATTTTT